GTGAAGGTCCCCAGGGCCAGGGAGCCCAGGTATCCCAGGGCACAGTAGAAGGCAGTGACTGAGCCCTTGTTGCACGTGATGATGATGTGGCCATGTTCAGAGTGTGTGTCTGTGTCCATAGAGGGAAGATATGTTCTCAGCCAGGCTGCACAGAGACAGCCCAGGGATCAAATGTTAGACACGGAGGTAGGTACTTCTGAGAACAGAAACTATCCATCCTTTCCCCTGAAGCAGTGACCTTGAAGGCCAGAATCATTTTGTCCAAAACAGTGGGAACAGCCATAGTGAACACCAGCTTCTAATGCAGTATGATGGTGGTTGCAGGTGGCTGTGTTGGGGTGGCCCATTAAGTGTAAGAAACAGCAAACACAGAAGAGGAGAAGAGAAGCAAGGTGCCCCGAGAGCCTGCTTTTCACCTTGACAATGGAAGTGTCTCCGTGCCTCACTGGAGCCATTCCTGATGTTTAGAGGCTGAGTGCAGAGAGCCACATGGGCCAGAGGTGTCCTAAAGTGGCCTTCTTAAGTCAGAGAGCTCAGGTTCCCTGGGCAGCAGTGCTCTCTCTCAGTACTAGTACCTTGACGATACGCATGGGTCACCCCCATCTGATAAGAAAGGTATGCACCCTTAGTCTAGGTCATTTATTTTTCTGTCATTCTCAGGTCTCTACAGTAGAGAAGCAGGCATGTTGGGTCAAACTGACTTTCTTGCTGGAGACAGAACATAAAAGCATGCCACAGAAGGAAGGACTTCCAGTGGATAGTGCCCACCTTTAGTAGGATTATGTGACCAAAGCTATCCTTTCCAGTCCACATATATCCAGCATATGCATGGGAACATTTTCATTTTCTCATATAATATCCAAAACCTATACACCTCACTAAATTAAATCTCTATAAGCTGTGGCCTGGGTTAATTCTTTCAATGAGAAACAACCAGTTTTATTTCTTCCTTTCCAATACATTTTATATGGGCAGGATCCCCATTGTAGAGTCTTTTAGAAGCTGAAATTCTAATCAATTAAAATTTTAGGACATGAAAAAACCAAGAGAGGGGATCAAAATGTAGCTCAGTGGTAAGTCATTTGCCTACCACGCCCCAGGCCCTGGGTGCAATTCCCCAGTGAGGAGGAGGAGGAGGAGGAGGAGGAGGAGGAGGAGGAGGAATGAAGAATATCTGCTACAATAGGCATGAATTTTGGGCAATTATGCTAAAGGAAAGAAGTCACAAACTATAAGTTGCACAGGTATATGAATTTATTTATGCCAAATATCCAGAATAGTTAATAGAAACAGAAAGCTGATTGGCAGTTGCACAAGCAGGGAAAAGGAAGTCTTGGAAATCAGTACTCAATGCACAAGACCTTGGCTTTATGTTAATAAATGCTTGGGGACTACAAAGGGTGGTTGAATCACTTTGTGAATGTGCCAGATGTTATTGATTTGTAGATTTTAAAGGAGTTAATTTTTGTTACACCATTTTCATCTCAGGAGATAAAAATCTGTTCCCTGAAAATACTAGTGCCAGTCTAGTATTGTCACAAAAAAATTTAAAGCCAAATTAATAACATGAATCAGTAACTCAATGGAAAAACACATGTTCTCAGAACCATGTCCACTTGTATTTGAACTTAGTGTGTGGCCAGGACAGTATTTCAAAATTGTTTAACAATGACTTTTGTTAAAAATTTTTTGAACTGTGTGTTATACACATATAAACTAACTTAGCAAGATTGATTATGAATACAGAAGAACACCAAGATAACATTAATGTATATAAAACACCAACGATTTGAGAAGAAAACAATCAGCATTTAAAATCAGACATTTTATCTAACTATGAACCTTATAGTGTCAGACACTTAGCATGTACAAGGCAGAAATAATTCTATGTAAACATTCATGCACTCAGGCATAACCATTGCACTGAGATAGCATTCACATCTGTGAGCTCAGGTGGCTGGTTATGGTTGGTTTTAAGTAGTAATCCTTTCAAAAGGGAGGTGAATCTTATTGATAAAGAGGTTAAGTGACCCTTGCTACTTCATAGTATCAGAAAGCAAAATCAGGGTGGTATTTTTCCATTCTTGCTCAGAACTGTCAATGATAATACATACATATGAAGCAATCTTCTGAATGCTTAGTCCCCCTGGATTTATTCAATCCCTGACATTTTTCAAAAAGTTCTCATCAGGTCTCTTGAGAATTATGTAGCACTTGGGGGCAAAGATGCAGCCCAGGAGCCCTGCGCTGGAGGCCAGGATGGAGAAGACCTCCACGGCCACCATGACCTTGACCTTGGTGCTGTGGTACACAGGGAGGAAGGTGAGCCAGACACTGTAGAACACCAGCATGCTGAAGGTCAGGAACTTGGCTTCATTGAAGGTGTCAGGCAGGTTCCTGGCCA